TGAGCTGTGGTGCTGGAGAAGAGTATTGAGAATACCATGGACTGCTAGGAAAACAAACAGATTTGTCCTGGAAAGGGTTAAACCGGGTGGTTCCTTGGAGGCAAGGATTCTGAGGCTCCGTCTAACATACTTTGGACATGTTGTGAGGAGAGACCTGTCCTTGGAGAGGAACATCATGCTAGGGAGGGTGGAGGGACAGTGCAGGAGAGGAAGGCCCTCTATGAGGTGGATTGATTCAGTGACTGGGATAATTGGGTTGGGAGTGTTAGAGACAGTGCGATTGGCACAGGACAGAGCGGACAGAGCGGAGTTTAGGGCTGTTGTACATAGGGTCGCTATGAGTCGCAGGCGACTCGACGGCACATAACAACAACAACTATAAGAAAAACATGATAAACGGCTATCAAAGGGCCTGGCATTGAGCTAAGGCACCAGGAAATTCAGATCTTATTTACCCAATAATTTCCTAATCCCTTGTTTCCTCCTAATCTCTTGTGAAATACAATCCAGTGGGAACCTACCCATAGCTTACTCTCGGGCATTTCAAGGCTGTTAAATATCACAGGAGAGGATACTGCCCATCCATCTCACACAGAGCAGCTGGTGGATTCGAACCACCTGGCTTTGTGATTGCAGCGCCGCTTCTTACCACTACACCACCAGGTATTTGCAACTGATATATGCCCATATAGAACAGAACCTGGTGTTCATAGGGGATGAAGGGGGCTGCACCCCACACATTCTCTGTTTATTAACTGCTCTGAGTGCTTATCCTCACAGGTTGATACTACTCACACTTGAGGGCACTGAAGGCCAGTTCGTAGGATAAACGCCGGTGGGACTCGTCCTCTGACTCGGCTGAGGACGGCAGGGGTTTGGTCCCATACTTGATCAGGGCCTTCTCGGGTGACTTTTCGATTCGAATACCCTGGAAAATGTTCGCTGCCCTCACGTAGATCGAGTCGGGGTAGCCGGTTTTCTCGGCCACACTCGCGGGGCCCTTGTCTCTGGGCGGCAGCTCCAGGGCAGCCAGCTGGTCCATGTCTTCCAAGCTCATTTGGGTCAAAACCTCCTGCTCAGTGGCGGAGTTCAGCATGTCTGCCCCTTTACTGGTCGCCGAGAACTTAAAACTTGACTCAAATCTCAGATGTTCCCAGGAATGGCTTTCCTTACACCTTCCTCATGTTCTCTGTGGAAAGAAAGGGGTTTATCTGGATCAGTCGCCCGTTTCTGCAGCATCACGCTGACAGGTCCACCATCCTGGGGACGTTATGGACCTGGAATCGGTGGCCTTTACGGGCCAGAATCCCGACTTCGAGAAACGCTGGCCTTAAGAAAACTTTCACAAACCACCCCCCACCCCCCAAAAAAGAAGCTCCAGAGTCGCCTCCTCTTAAGCGACGTTGCCTGAGTCCCATTTGGGGGGCAGAGCTCCCCAGTACCCACGTCGGCGGCACCACCGCCACCCGCGAACCCTCCCTTACCCTGAAAGGTGGTTATTTCTGGGATTTGGGGGGACGGCGACGCTCAGGAGGCTGCACTTGGCACACCCCCAGCGGCGTGGGGGGGGGGGGCAGAGCCCGCGGGCGCCCCGGGACGGCGGCCAGGAGGGCCGTTTAGTTCCCATGCAGCCACTCCCACCGGCCGGGCTCGGGGCAGGGGGGCACCGCCTCCGCGGATCCATTCCCCCGGCTTCCGGAGGGAGGTCTCCCTCTGGGCCTCGCCCGCCTCGCGGGTCCTCCCTCGGGGAGCAGAAGAGGAGAAGGAGGGAGAGTGGGCGGAGCTCGAGGGCTGACCTCTCCCCATCAGAAAGGGCGGGCTTCCCCCGCTTGGGTGTCTGCGCGTCCGGGCCGGGTCTCCATGGCAACAGGGGGCGGGGCGCCAGCCGCACGCGTTCCCGAGGTCTTGGGAACCTTCTAGCTCCCGGATCCGCTGTTTCCGGGAGCTCATCTAGTCTAGTGTTAAGAAGCTGCGCTGCTATACTAAATAGACGAGTTCGACTCCACCAGCAGCTCTGCAGCGGGCCTCTCCTCCTGTTAGATTTACTGCCTCTGAAATCCCATGGAGGGTGAGCTCTGGGTCTATTCAGACTAGATGATACTCAACATATATATGTACATGTTGTTGTTGTTATGTGATGTCGAGTCACCTGAGACCGATAGCCACCTTATGCACAGCAGCCCTGCCTGTCTTAAGCCAGTCTCTCTAATTCCGACACAAAGCCCCATCGCCCTGGTTACTGTGTTAATCAATCCATCTCATCCAGGGTCTTCCTCTCCTGTGCTGTCCCTCCACCCTTCTGAGCATGATGTCCCCACTGGCAAAGTGCCCAAATTATGTGAGAAAAAAAATTTCAAAATCCTTGCCTCCATGGACAAACTTGATTTCACCCTTTCCAAGACAAACCTATGTGTTCTCCTGGTGGCCCATGATACGTTCAAGACTCTTCTCCAGCACCACACCTCAAAGGCATCGATTCCACTTCTGTCATCCTTAGTCATTTGTCCAGCTCTCTGATGGATGCCCAGCTCTCTGAGAAGACCATGGCCCGCATCAGGTGAACATAACTCTATACTGACATCTTTGCTTCTCAATTCCCTGGAGAGATCCCTGATTGCAGATTTTCCCAACGCAAGTCTTGTTTTGATTTCCTGACTGCTGCTGCCAAGAGCATTGATTGTGGAGCTGAGCAAGCTGTAATCTGTTAACAGCCTCAGTCTTTGCTCTCTCTGTGTTCTTGATGTCGAGTTTCAATCCATATTGAATACTACGGTTCTTGACCTTTCACAGCAAACACTTTAGGCCCTCCTTAGTTTTGTCAAGCAAGGTTGTGTCCTCTGAATAACTCAAGTTGTTGAAGAGTCTTCCTCCAATTCTGATGCCACACTCCTCTTCATAAACCTAAATGATCTGTTCCACATGCAGAATGAAAAGTTTGGAGACAGGATGCATCCTTGACACACACCCTGTATGAACCATACAGTGTTTTCTTGCTTTGTTCAGATGATGCCTCTTGGTCCAAACAGCACAATTTCATATGAGTACATTTGACAGTGTACATTAATGGAAAATACTTATAGGCTCAAAACCATACCCTATCCTAAAAAAAAAAAGTATTCCCATATGGCAGTATTTCAGTATCAACTTTCTCTCTGCTGTAGATACTATTCAATATCTGTTCACTGCTCTCAGCACTGCCTGAGCAAGGTCTGGAAAAAAAAAATCTTCTGGGATTCCTGTTCTTAAGGTTAGCCACAATTTGTGTGATCCACACAGTCAAATGCCTTTGCATAGTTAATGAAATATGGATAAACATTTCTCTGGGATGCTTTGCTTTTAGCCAAGATCCATCTGATAATGTCTCTAGTGCTACAGCCTCTTCTAAATCCAGCTTATAGTTCTAGTAGTTCTCTGTTAATGTACTGTTCCAGTCATTTTTTAATAATCTTCAACAGGATTTTGCTTATATGTGATATTAGTTATATTGATCGATAAGTTCCACACTCTGTCAGATTATTTTTTGGAATGGGAATAAATATGGATCTCTTACAGTCAGTTGGCCAGATAGTCGCCATCCAGATTCCTTGGCACAACCTAGTGAGCATGTCCAGGGTGGCATTTAGTTAATTTATATTGTGTGATTTTTTTGTTTTCTTTCTCCCTTATAATCATCCCACCAACTCACTACTTTTATGAAGGCATGTGAGCCAGCTACTTCATACCTCATGTTTTAATATCCCCCCTTTTAGATAGTCATTGCTGATTTGCCCATCCCTATTGAACCACTCCAAAAAGAGGTGACCCGACAGAATGTGGAAATTATCAAACAATATCACTTAAATCACACACTAGCAAAATCTTGCTGAAGATTATCCAGAAATGACTGGAACAGTATATTGACAGAGAACTACCAGAAATACAAGCTGGGTTTGGAAGAGGTCATGGCACTAGAGACATTATTGCTAATGTCAGATGGCTCTTGGCAGAAAGCAAAGAATACCTAAAGAATGTCTATCTGTATTTCATTGACTTTGCAAAGGCACTTGACTGTGTGGATCACAACAAACTGTGGCTAACCTTAAAAAAAATGGAAATCCCAGAACACTTGATTTTGCTTATGTGAAACTTATAATTGGGCCAGGAAGCAGTTCTCAGGACAGAGCAGGGAAACAGTGAGTGGTTCAAAATCAGGAAAGAAGTATATCAGGGATGCATTCTGTCTCCATACCTTTTCGATCTGTGTGCAGAACAGATCACTTGGGAAGCAGGGCTTTATGAGGAAGAATGTGGCATCAAGCTTGGAGGAAGACTCATCAACAACCTACGATATGCACATGACACAGCCTTGACTCTGAAAACTGCACTAAAGCACCAAGAAGAAGAGAAAGAAAAAAGCAAAATGGATATCAGAAGAGACATCCAGGACAATGTCTGTTGAACTATGTCAATTGGTATGCCATCAATTCCTGGGGCCTTGTTTTTTGCAAATTCCTCCAGAGAAGCTTGAACTTCCTCCTTCATCACCACAGGCTCTTGCACATACATTGTTTCATGAAATTCTTCTATGTTAGCCAATTCCTTCTAGTATAGTGACTCTGTATACTCTTTCCATCTTCTATTAATGCTTCCTGGATCATTTCCTATTTTTCCCAAAGCATCCTAAAGTATTGCAACTTGAGGTGTGAATTTGTTCTTCAGTTCATCCAGCTTAAAAAATGCTGAGCGAGTTCAGCCTTTTTTATTTTCTGACTCCAACTCTTTTGAACATTTCATTGTAATACTTTACTTTGTCTTCCCACTCTGCCCTTTGAAATCATCTGTTCAACTCTCTCATTTCTTTATTTCTTCCAGCAGCAAGGAAATTAAAACATGAATTGCATTGGGAAAGTCTGCTGTCAAGGACCTCTCTAGAGTGCTGAAAAGCAACAATGTCAGTCTGGAAACTAAGGTGTGTTTGCTCCAGGACATGGTCTTCACAATTACTTGCTATGCATCAGTGAGGTGAACAATGACTAGGGATGATATAAGGGGAACTGATGCCTTTGAGCTGTGGTGTTGGAGAAGAATATTGAATATACCATGATCCACTGGAAGAACAACCATGTTTGTCCTGGAGAGGGTGAGACCACGCTGCTCCTCGGAGACAAGAATACTGAAGCTCTGTGTGGCATACTTTGTGTGTGTTGCAAAGAAGGACCAGTCCTTGGAGAGGAACATCATGCTTGAGAAGAAGAAACAAATCTATCTTGGAGGAAATAAAACCAGTTGTTCCTTCAAGGCAAAGATGGTGAAACTTTGTCTCACATACTTGGAGCACGTTACAAGGAGCAGCCAGTCCTTGGACAAAGATACCATGATGGGAAGGGTAGAGGGTCAGTGAAGGAGTGGAAGGCCCTCAACAAGATGGCTTGTCATAGTGACTGCAATAAGAGGCGTGGCAGACATTGTGAGGATGGTGCAGACAGGGAAAGGTTTGGATCTAGTGGCCATGGGGTCACTATAAGTCATAATGGAATCCATAGCTAACAACAACAAAACTCAATGTATTAGAGTAAGTGTTACAGGAAAAGGGTGAAATGGCTATTGAGAAGCAATTGCTCTACAAACCTCTATTAAGTGACACCTTTACTTACCAATCCACTTCTGAGATCCCAAGAATGTCAACCCTGCCCTCATTTATGTTCTTAAAACTTTTCATAGGGAGCTCTGGTGGCCTAGTGGCAAGAAGCTGCACTGCAATCTTGAAAGTTCTCAGTTCAAATGCACCAGATGCTCCTCTGGAGAAGGAGGGGTGAACTTCTGTGTCAGTCGGATCCAATTCGATGGTACAACAAATTAAACAAATAAAATAAGATAAAACCTTTTCGTGCTTACATAAATACATACATTTAACAAGTGTCTATTAAGCTATCAGTGTACCTGGCACAGTTTTTATCCCTGGAAAGAAAAAAAAATACTATAGCATTCAATATGGATTTCACTTCAACATAACACAAAAATCCTTACAATTGGGCCAATAAATAATGTCATGCTAAAAGGAGAAGAATTTGAAGCTGTCAAGAATTTAATTTTATTTGGGTTCACAATTCAACCCTA